AAAATAATTTATAAAAAGCAGAAAATAATTTATAAAAAGCAGAAAATGACAGAAATTTTGTCATCGAAAAGCAGAAAAAAAAGCAGAAAGTATGTTTGGCATTTAAAGCTATTTTGAGGATCTATTCCTGTGTACTAATTAAGAGTTTTCACATTAAGTTTTCGTCTTTGTTGTACAGGATGAAGAAAAATAGTTAATCAACAAATAAATAGAATCATACAAGATCAAGAAACACAACTAAGTAACAAATAAATAGGCTTATTGAATACATTCAATTTTGAACGTATACTTTTCATCTAATTTAATAGCGCTTAAGATCGCCTTTCCCTCAAAAATCGATCGCAACTCAGCATATACAAATTGGCTGAAATTTTCAGAATATGTTGGAACTATAGCGGAGAGGCTATGGTAAACTTTTCAGTTTGATACTATGACGTGTCAGTGAGATATTCACCAAACCAGGATAAAAAAAATACAATATTTGGTAAACAAAATTATTGCCAAGGTGCGTATAATATATTTCTTTTTTTATTTAAAAGAGCATGTCAAAATACAGGACACCAAAGAGTCCTTTTTATAAATACTTACGTTTCAAGCGATAAATAGGATCACAAGTTAATGATTCGAAAAGCTCACAAAAAATCAATATTTTTCAATAGACACACATTCTTATGTGATAATAAAAAAGCTTATCTCAAAAAAAGACTCTTTGGTGCACTTCATCTTGACATGCTCTTTCAATAAAAAACAAAAAGTTAGATATTATGTTAGCATGAACGGATAATTCTCGCCTGTGTATTTGAGACAAGATGAACTAAGAAAAAGTGAAAAAGATCTTCTGTATTTTCCAAAAAAACTGTATTTTTTATGCAGAAGACGATGAAAATCATGATTAATTTAGGGCAAAAATGAAGTATTAAATTAAAAACCATACTTTTTTTGAAAGATCACATTGTAGGCTATCTTTCCATGTATTTACCTACTTTCTGACATTTTTGACGAAAATGGACTTTTTTATGGAGGAGCTTTAATAAGTATTGACTACCTAATAAATATTTATACATTTCAGCACATGATGAGAAGGAATTTCAAATAACTGTTGATTAAAGCTATAAGACTTCATGTGTTTTTTGTGTTTCTAAATGTTTATATAATTGTCATTATCAGTTTTCTCTCAGTAATGTACAGAAAAATTGTTGATTACAAACAATACATGTTGCCTGAGATGAGTGTAATTTATATTCTTTTAAAACTCTTTGATATTCGACGATTTTAAGTCATTCTTTGTGAAACACGCTTTGCTTTTATTTCCTTTTTTTTTTGGTTCAACTTCCGAAGACATGGATATTTGTTCGGCAACTACTAGTATTTTGATATTATTTTCTTTAGTAATCGTGCTATCATTATCATCTTCACCTAGTTTCTTTATCCCTGTATCATTACTAATCATATTAATTATTTATGCTTATCAACCGTACACACAAAAGAATGCATATGTTGGTTTGTATGGAATAGATGGCTAATACAAAATACAATAGCAAGAGAAATATAAATTGAGAAAAGATTAAAAACCAAAACTATACATTGCTATTTATTTGTAGCCAGTAGAAAATACAGATCATTTTTGTAAAATTGAAAGAATTAGAAT